CAACCCATCTCTGGGAAACTTTTACACACTCATTCATACACACACTCATACACTAAGGACAATTTAGCCTACCCAATTCACCCGGAGGAAACCCACGCAAACACAGGGAGAACATGCAAACTCCACACAGAAACGCCAACTGAGGCGAGGCTCAAACCAGCGATCTTCTTGCTTTGAGGCAACAGCACTACCTACTGCGTCGCCAAATCAGTTATTAGAGATGAGTTATTAAATCTATTAGGCCTATGTTTAGAATTGTGCTAAAAAATCTTCTCAAACAGAAATTGGGGACAAAAATGAACAGGAGGGCTAATAAATCAGGGGGGCTTATAATTCTGACTTGAACTGTATATAATAATGCATTATATATATGGACATTTTAAAATGCCATTTTTACAAGAAAGCTTTGGTTGATATTTTATTTTTAAATAATGATTGACTTCATTTATAAAAGATATCTGCTAAATCTAATTGAGTTTAATTTAAATCAAATCATTACTGTATGTTTCTGTATAATTAATTGTGTTCAGTTTGCATTATATTTTATTGTATTTACTGTAAAAGACACAACATTGGTAATAGAGAAGTAATAGAGAAGAACTCTTCTGCTCTGACTGACTTACTGCTGATCAAGTGTTGTTTACAATTAAACCAGTTCAATATTCTGTCACCACAGCAACCTGAGTTTACATTTTATATTCACAATACTGTCTGAAAGTCTTGAATTTTTTGCTTGAAGCTCGTTTAACTCACCAGTTTGACAAGTTTCTTTAGTTTTTTCTGCTTTGAGAAGTTGATCTTCATGGAGCAGTGTCACCTCAGTAGAACAAGGACTCTTCCTGTACATTTGAAAGACTTCTGGGTTGAGGGTGTCTCTTCTGTTCTGGATCCTGCAGCTGTGGTCAGGTTGAATCAGACATACTGCAGTGTCTGCTTTAGGTTTGGAGGAGCAACATCTGAAGAACGCGACCTCCGTCCAGCAGTCAGTGTCCTCAGTGGATGCAGGTCAGCAGACAGAGTCTCTCTCCATCCATGGCTACAGTGTTGAAGTCTATCAGGACATTTACCGCTCTGTGGTCGAGCCCATGATGAAGAACCATTGCGGCCACTGCCGTCCCTACACCCAACAGCTGGGCTTGAAGATTAAACAGCGGCTGTGGGAAACACTCAGGTGTGCTGTAGTGGAGGAGACAGAGCAGGCTGATGGACGAATTATCATCACCGGGAGCAGATCTGGATACAGTATTGCTCCTCGAATCCAGGTAGACATCAGTGAAGAGCCACTGCCTGAAGAGCCCAGAAGAAGAGTCCTCACACCAGGCTGTGTATATACTGTACATAGTTATAGAGCAACTTTACAAGTAAGTTTCATTTTTCACACACAATTATTTCACCATCAGAACGTTGTTGGTGATTGTCAGTAGGTTTGCTCATATTTTTTTAATGCTTTGCTGTGTGATCGTCACATTGTTTTAGGTGGTTTTCTTCATGTTCATCAAGGTTTTCTGATGGGTTACTCGTGTTGCTGGTTGGTCGCTGGACTCTGGTCTCTGTTTGGTTAGGATATGATAGGTTAGGGTACCTCACATGGTTTGCAGCTTGACGTGCTGTGAGGGCTTGTGTGCATTAGTGATGCTGAGAGCTTCACCACGTGTACTTCACAAGTACTGGCAGGGTCACCCATAGTGGACAGGTCTCAGCTGAGATGTCAGACTAAGACAAACCAGCTTACTCTGGACAACAGAAGACCAGAATCTGCAGAATTACAGAAGATCACAGACTGAAGACAATGCCAACAACATCAGAATTAGCTGAACATGTGGAAGTCAAAGGTGGAAATATGGACTGTACAAAACAATAAAATAAGGCAAAATAATAACAATAAAAAAGTTAAGGTGAACAGCATGTTGTGTTTTTTCTTCAGCACTATTCTATACCTACATTTTTACAATGAAATTTGGGGATAATAATATAATAAATATAATATAATATAATATAATTAGGGCTGTCAGTTGATTACACATGTTCATTAATGTTCAATAAAATTAAAATGTACTATTTTACATAGGTAAATATCTATAGGTGTGGTTGCTAACTTTCTTCTATACGTTTTTGTTTTATGTTGAGCAAAAAGTAGAAATTCATACACATTTACAATGACACAAAGGTCAGTATGTCATTTTATTTTTAGGGGGTGAACTGTCTTTTTTTTATTAAAAAAGGTTGACAGACAGACAGACAGACAGACAGACAGACAGACAGACAGACAGACAGACAGACAGACAGACAGACAGACAGACAGACAGACAGACAGACAGACAGACAGACAGACAGACAGATAGATAGATAGATAGATAGATAGATAGATAGATAGATAGATAGATAGATAGATAACACACTAACACAATGGGAGATGTTGCACAGGAAATCAAAGAAGATTCTGTCAGTTCAATTTCACAAAGACGCTTCAAGTTTTTCAGGCTGCATTAGTTAAGCCTTACGCATTCTCATTTTTCACAGCACTCAGAGGTGCTCTGTTTCCACAAGAGTGGCATCCATTACGGAATAAATCCTTTTGTCTTCGGAATGCTGATGTTCACTGTCACAGTCTTGGCTGATCACAAAAGCACAATTCCGTCTATTCTTCAAAGGGATGCAAACGCTGTTGCGCCTCCATATATTTTAGGACTTGTATCTAACACAAAAGGATGAAAATCCCCATGAGACCCGAAGTCTACACTGGAATCCAAAAAGAAGGATGATCCGACTGCACCGTTACACCTTGCTCATGAAATAATAACTCTCTCCATATTTAATATACATAATGTTACTACAATCACACAGACATTCTTTAAAAACAAACTAAATTGTTGTACATGTTATGTTTTGACTGACATTTGTTATTTAGCGATTCTAGTTTTTATATAATGAAATCAATTCAAATTTTTAATCCATATGTTTAAAATACAACATTGTAAACTTAATGTCATGGAAATATCTTCAGGCTCAGTACTTCCTGTTAATGACATTTCAGCATGAAGACTGCTTCTCTGAGACTGATATCTCTTGATGCACTCCAACACGGCATAATGCATACATGGGAAATTACCATTTGCATTATAATTTGACTGAAGGCTATGGTTTGATCTGCAGCTGTTGAAATGTTCTGCTGAACGACAGTAATCTACTATCATATTAGTATTGTAATTACTATTTGAACCCAGGGGCGCCCTAATATCTATAATATTGTTTTGTGTATCATCAATTTATTCATTATGTAATAGCTAGGCTTAAAGCTATTCAAATATTTAGGGTTGGTAATATTTATGGTTTTGAAAGGACTAATTTTGTTTTACCAAGACTGGATACAGTTTAGATTAGTATAAACCGTGATATTTTTTAAAATGATAAAATATTCAGCTTGGTGTGAGCAAAAAAAAAAAAATGAAATTCATGAATGAAAGTTGAAACTTTTTTAGACTGACTGAAACTGTCAAAGTGAATATCAATATGCTACAACTCTCTGCAATAGGCTAATAATGTCTGCATAAAATCATCCAAAATTAAGCCTTTTTTTTTTCAGTTTCAGAATCAGGAGACATTTGGTAAAAGAACAAAAGAAGTGATGAGAAGATGTTTTTTTTTACCATTTTCAGTTCAAAGCTAAACAGAACGGTTATAGTAGGCATCAAGACTATACATTTTAACTGATTTTGTTATGTAATTGCATACTACCTATATATGCTCCTTGTGGGACCTTTGGTAATAAAAAGAAGTCCCAAAACTCAAATGAAAAACAAAACAACAACCAGGGGGCGACTAGGTGGCTCAGTGGTAAGCACTTTTGCCTCACAGCAAGAAAGTTGCTGGTTCGAGTCCCGGCTGGGTCAGATTGCGTTTCATTGTGGAGTTTGCATGTTCTCCCCGTGTTCATGTGGGTTTTTTCCAGGTGCTCCGGTTTCCACCACAGTCCAAAGACATGCACTATGGATGAATTGAATAAATTAAATTGACCGTAGTGTATGAGTGTGAATGGCTGTAAATGGATAAATCGCTGTGTAAAACATATGCTGGATAAATTGTCAGTTTATTCCGCTGTGGTAATCCCTGAAGAATAAACGGACTAAGCCGAAGGAAAATTAATATATGAAAACAACAACTATCATTTACAGTAGATACTATGTTGTTTTTGAACTAAACTACAGCAGATCATGTTAATTAATTTGATGTGGCAATTCTAAATATCTGTGGCGATTCAACTAATATAATCAAATTACCAAACACATGTTTCCTACATAGTGTATTAAACTACAATACACAAAATATCACCGTAGTACAAACTAAAATAGCCTATAATACAGTATTTTTTACAGTTCACTTTAGTTAATATCTACAACAGTACGCAGTAGCATTATTTAAGAAAGCGTATTAATAAACTTTATTTTTTTTACTTTAGTATTTTTATACACGTGGAAGTATACATTAGCTATATACTAAAACAAAATAAAACACGTGTGCTGAATTTTTCAGTTGAAAACTAGGCTACGTGCACTTTCCATAACCGACTAACGTTACAGCTTCTCTCGTGGATGTTACTCAAAAACGCAATAGCACGTTTGATAAAGGCATAAGCATTTTGCAATGCAAGAGCGTACCGCAAATTTTTCGCAATTATAACAATCATTTTTATTATTACCGACTACTGTGACGCACTGCTTCCGCTACAAGCTCAGACCGTCGATGGCGGAAGCACACGTCATAAAGCTCGTTCCACTTTACGAAAAGTGCGTTCCACATTCCTCAGACACGGAGACGAGCGGAGGAGCGTAACCAGTACGTACGTAAACGCCGTTGAGAATGGCGTTTTCGCAGTGGGCTCTGAGTTTTGTGCGGTGCGCAGCGTGAGTGTTTTAGTACCGAGCGGAGAGGAGATGCACACGGCACTCGAGTGAGGTAAACTATATAAAACCCGCTTTGTTTTCACACACTCCCACAACATGGACCCGAGCAGCTTCAGATGGGTCAATGAGAGCAGGGATTTAAGATTAAATCCTGCAATGTTATGATTTTGCTAATAATTTCATGGCTTTCGGCGCTAGCAGTGTTAGCTGCTGCTGTTTAGATTTATCATCTTTCGGTCGGTTGCGCCGTTTAAAAGCTGCTGTTGCATTTTTCTACTGCAGATAAACGTGTTTTGTGTAAATCGTGATTGTTAAATATACATTTTTCCCACGTAGACGTTCATGTAACGTTAGATTTAATGTACCGTGAAGGGGAAGTTTGGGGTATTAATCGCATGTTCAGCATCAGTCATGTGAAGAAGTTAAGGGTGAAGGGGTAATCCCATGCTGTTTTTTTTTTTTTAGTAAAACCACACATTCCTGTTTTGATGGTTTTTCTTCAGCTTGCATATTGATCAGTTTTTAATATGTCTGTTAACATATGCTTTATTATGTTAATAGCACATTTACACTATCAAAGTGCACATTTGAATATGTGCTGTGTTTTGTGGTGCTGTAATAATATGCATTATATTTAATGCCATTTATTTTGCACATATTCTAGTCCCAGACCTTGACACTGCAGTTTGCCTGTAAATGATAAATGTTGAACCAGTAGTTTCCATTATTATCCAGTTTGATGATATTGCAACCTGTCACACTGAAAAGTGTCCAAATCCCTTCTTAGACCAGACTGATTAGACTAGCACACCAGCTAAAAGCAGCTTTTTAAAAATTATTTATTTAACTGAAGTCAATGACTCTTTGTTTTGTAATATGACAGCAGAAAGTGGTACTCAAATAGACACATGGAGTAATTTGAAACTGCTGCTATTAGACAAGCTTGAATCAGAAAACAGTGCCTTAAAATTTTAATGCAGGAAGTGTGAGACGATGACTGGACAAATGGCGGTGCTGCTGCAGTGCTCTGATAATGCCATTTTCCTGTTCAGTAAGTGCACACCTGCATACACCTCTAACCGTGTTACAGAAGCTGGTGTTTGTGAATCTGCAGAGCCTGTAACAAAGACAGATGCTAACTGTGTTCATAGTGTGAAGAAAAATATAACATCATTAAAAGTAGACTGCCAGCAAATGCATTGATTTGTCAAGGACATTTCCTATTCGCCCATTTTGGAATCTGCAATCTATTTCTGTTCATTTTTCATACCTATGCTGTATGTTTAAAAACAGAAATCAAGCAGTTCTGGTTTTAAGTCAATGGAATTATTTAAATTGATAGATAATATTAAATGAAGATGTAGCTGGTTAGGGGTGACAATGTCAGTTTGCCAGTAAAGTTTATAAACAATGTACTGTGTAACACAGTGGTATAAGTTGGGGCTACCACCAGTAGCATAGCTGACAAAAGTATCCCCCATCTGCTCCAGAGAACTTATCACTCAATTTCAAATACATACATGTGGGAAAAAGATTGTTTCCCATATTTTTACATTTGATACTGAAAACATTTTCAGAAACAATTTTGTCCACCCCTAGATATTTTAATAGTACCTAGACTTTTTAATAGTACTTACTGTGCATAAATACAAAGTAGTCTCATTAGCTATGTTTTTATCCACCTATTTTTATGTGCATTTTGGATATGTGAATGAAAAATGGTTGATGAAAATGCCAAGATACTCGTCAGTCTAGAAAATGTGCATAACAATGTATGTGCATAACGTTTATCCTAAGAAAAGATGAGCATAAACTACGATACAAACACTTTTACCAAACAAATTCTAAAAAATGTGTGTGAATAGACAAAGAAGCAGGCTGAGCACATTGTGAAACATCTGAAATGCTGTTTTGGTCACTCTAAAATGCTTTAACCATTTCAGTATTAGTGTTTTATATTATATTATATTATATTATATTATATTATATTATATTTGCAGCCAGACAGTAATTAAAGCCGTATTCAGTTCTGATGGACATCTAGAAATGTAAAATATGTCAAAATTTTGTTATTGTAAGAAGTAGGATGTGGTAGAGTGAGATGATAGATGCAGTGGATTAATTTGTCATAAAATCCATCCTTCTAAACAGTATCTCAAATACATCTACTTCACTGGCAACAATAGATGCGAGTGTGATGTTTGCTTTGGTTTATGGAGATTGCTGGTCCAGTGTGAGAAGTAGGTGTTGTCTGACTTGTCCGCTTTTGTTTTTACACTCCTCCCTTGACTCCCACTGCCAACTTTTGTCTACTTTAAAGGCGAGGTGTTTGGCATTTCAGATGAGCTTAAGAGCTTGAGACTGTGTACGTTCTTGAGGTGCTAATTAGTGGAGTTGTTATGACGTCATTTTCCTTTGCCTGTAGAGTCATTAGTGGCATTCAGGTTGAGCTGATTACCTCAAAATAACCTGGCAGCAGAAAATAACTGTTCAGCGAAGTTGACAGATTTTGATAGTTCAATTGTATTTATTTTAATATTTATGGGACAACACAGTGGCTCGGTGGTTAGCACTGTCGCCTCACAGAAACAAGGTCGCTGGGTCAGTTGGCATTTCTGTGTGTAGTTTACATGTTCTCCTCGTGTTCGTGAGGGTTTCCACCAGGTGCTCCGGTTTCTCCCAAAGTTTAAAGGGTCACGAAACACCAAAACACATTTTTTGAGCTGTTGACAGTCGTATATGTGTCCCACACTGCTAAAAACACTATTAGGACACCTATATTTCACTAAAAAGTGTAAATTGGTTGTTTTTCCGTTATTTTAAGCAAATTCGTACTTCCTGTTTGAAACGAATTTTTGAAGCTGCGTCACGGTCATGACATAATAGCGTGTATTCCAGCGTGCAGACTGGGCGTCTGTGCCTGAGTGAGTCTTATTACGTCTTACAGTGTGTTGCATTAATGCATGAGTAAGGCTTGGGTCAAACCAATCAGCGCACTCTATTGTGCAACTTCATTAATATTCATTACTATCACCGTGTTTTCAGGACAGAGACGCCACGTTGTGTTGGCAAAACAAGCGTGAAGTGTTGCTTTTATAGTTTGCTGCAGTTAAGTTTCGTTTTCATTTTCTCTCTGTGAGAGCTCAGACTCACGTGTGGATTACAGTGTACGCGACGCGCGACAACAATAACTTACGTGTCTAAGGAGGATTATTGTTTACCTGAGAGCTGTTCTCATCTGCAAACGCTGGGATCTGGAATCGTTTGTAGTATTCTCTTCATAAAGACGCGGCTCTAGTTGCTGGTGATTGTCCTGTCTCTACAGATTTGGTAAGTGAGCGACCAGTGCTTTTTGTTTATTCAGTTTGTTCGTATCTAACAAACTATTGCACAGAGTGTAAACACGTTAGCACCACAACCAAACTTTAACCTCGTGTAGGGTTTTTACCGCATTTAGTGACCGGAAAAACACGCGCGGCTTTCTGACACTACCAGCCGAGTTCATCTAAGTTTCTGGGAAATGCAGAGGGTTCATTCGCCGTGCGGTATAAAACATTGCATGAAAAATACACGCTTAGAGCAGCTCCTCGAATCAAATATCTCGTGTGTCGCGAGGGGCATGAATGAATTCCCTGAATGAAAGAGCCAAACTGCAGTTAAAGTCCACCATTTAATAATTTGGCTAATAATTCGACTACAGATGTCCATGTAGGTTAAACACCATCACATTCTCCTGTATGTATGTGTGTGTGTGTGTGTATTTTGACTGAAACTCGCGCGTGCCCAAATAGACACTCCCACACCCTCCCACTTTAGTTCCTCCGACACTCCCCCCTAAACAGAGCTGGACACGCCCACTTTTCTGACTTTTTCCAAAGAAGAGGTGTGAAAACACCCTGCTGAAACGAGGGGGTTTCATGGCCCTTTAAAGACATGCGGTACAGGTGAATTGAATAAACTAAATTGGCTGTAGCATATGTGTGTGAATGAGTAAAGATGTTTCCCAGTACAGGGTTGCAGCTGGAAGGGCATCCGCTGTGTAAAACATATGCTGGATAAGTTGGCTGTCAAAAATGTTTCTGTCAATGTTTTCAAACTGTCATATTTGATTTAGCAAAGTCACACAAGTGGCAATTTCTCACCGGTCACTATCTATAACGGAAAAGTGTCACATCCATAATGAAGCTTTTTCCAATTCCTCATAAATGCAAAAATGTCAAATAAAATAAAATCTTTTTGTTTTATAGTGAGCAAACTCTTATCAGATTGATACAGATTGATATTTTTCTGATCCTAGAACTCTGTGGTTAGTAGTTTTGCAAAATATAAACAGTTGCTTCAATATAATGTTAACGTATACTTTCTATGGGAATTTATATTTTGAGTTTTTACTGCAAATGTCACATCCATAACGCTGGAATTGCTCCTATAATATTGATCGATGATAAATGGGGAAATGCTGGATGAGATACATGGGTGAAATTTTGTGTGCAAAAACATCCATAGTCTATTTTCAGTAGCACAGAATATTACAATAATAAAACCCCAAAGGCAAAGTCTTCAGTTGGGCAGTGTTGTAAACCTGTTTTAGGTGTGGGCAACTTTATCTTTAAATTGGAATGATTTTGTCCACTGAAATTTGCCAAACAATAATAGATACTTTAATACTTCATATTCTTAATACTTCACCTTTAATCTGAAAAGGCACATTTCTGGTTCAGTTCTTGTGTCATAAACTGAAAGCAACAGGCAGACATTCCTAAGCATTGATATTTTGTTACAAACCAGGTGGTCTGTTAGATAATAGTGATGCACAGACAATTTCCTTTAAAGGGACATTAGCAGTAAACACTTTAATGCTCTCACCCTCAGGTCACTGCAGACATTATTTCCCCTGTGGGATATACATATATATTTATTTAATATATTTTATAAATACTTTAGTAAAATGTGCATTTTTTATGTTTAATTGAAAAAAGTCATATGGAATAACATGAGGCTGACTAAATCAATGTTTCTCAACTACGTTCCTGGAAGACCACCAACACTGCATGTTTTTGATGTCTCCTTTGTCACTCATTAAAGCTCTTTCAGTCTCTGCTAATGAGCTGATGGTCTGAATCAGGTGTGTTTGGTTGAGGAGACATGGAAATGTGCAGAGCTGGTGGTCCGCCAGTAACGTGGTTGAGAAACACTGGACTAAATGACTTTCTTTAAATTGTATTTTTGAGTGAACTACCCCTTAAACTGTCATCTTGTTGATTTTTTCTGAAATCTATGAACAGTAGTCTCAAACGAAGTTGCTTTACACGACGACATTAAATAAGACTTTGTGTTGGCATTGCATCATGTAATATTCGCAGGCTTCGCGTTTGGTAATAAGAGCCAAACACTCACATGGCCAGCTATAGGTGCCTCTACTGAACTGTTAAGCATACGAACACGCTTGATCTGACAGATTAAATGAACATGTGCTCAGTGGGTGGGGTCTTGTTAGGGATAATATGCATTGCATGTACATTCTTGAGATCAGGTCAATTTATATAACTTCAGGTAAGATTTATATAACATGTAGATAGCATTCAGCATCTATATGTATTCAGTGTAAAGTCTGTAGTTATACTGTAGAGTACCAACAGTCAGGAAAAAGATAATAACACACGACATCCAAAGCCTCAACTGAACTTCCTTCCTGAATTTGGGGCAAGGTGTGGAGGTTTTAGTCATAATGAATGCTCGTTCTGATCCAGGGATTAAAAAGCACTAAACATACAAAAACAAATATATTTGAAGTCAGGACTTGAATATCACCACAATTTTGTGCCACGTGGCTATTTTAACAGTGTTGCTTAAGCTGAGAAATTTAAGATGTGTAACATTACAGTTTATGCCATATCCTGTTTGGAAAAAGCTATTAAGTCATAGCTAAGACAGGATGTAAGACTTTTTTGTTTTTTAATCCATGGCACACAGACGTTTCTTTTTTATAATATTTACGAAAGCTTTATTTCCATTTCATGTAAAGCTAGCAACTTTATTCCAGTAGATAAT